CCTCTGCCCGGCCTCCCTTTGCCTGCCTGGTCAGGTGCCAAGGGAAGCTACCCCGCCCCCAGCCCTGCCAGTGCCCCGACAGGGGTTATTTCCACCCCCTGCCCCTGAAGCCCCGACCTTGCCTCACTGTCGGCCTCACCCACTAGATTGGGAGCCTCACAAGGGTGGGGACCAAGGCCAGGGCTACCACACCCTGGTGACAGCGTGCTGACATCTTGGTCTCTGGAGAGGTGGGGAGATGTTCGTTTGAATTTGGTGAGACATTGCATTTTGGGTTTCCTTGTTTTGAAGCCCTGACACTTGAACAAGAGTTACTAGGTGACCTAGTGTGACCACTAAGAGGACAAGATCGTGGGGAGATGCTTCACTCTCAGTTACTTGTGAGCGCTTCACTATCAGTTAATTACCAAGCACCCACATAAGAGTCTCAATGGTTCTTTTGCTGACAAACATTTTTACCTGAAGTTTAACACACGCAGGAAGACACGCGCAACTGGTCAGCACACACACTGCTGTTTGCAGCCCCGGTGCCCGGGGTCGCTCGCTGGCCCTGTTGGCTGGGCCCAGAGGCAGCCACTAAAGCTCGGGGGCTGGGGGGGAACACTGCAAACAGAGCCCCTCCTGCAAGAGGGCCGCTCCCTCCGCCTGGACTGCACACGGAGGCTGTGTGTGGGGGTGGCTGGTAGGTGTTGAATGGGCCCCATCTGTAGTGTGCTGTGAATCTTATCCCAGGGCTGGTTCCAAGCTGCCAAGGTGAGCTGTGTCAGGAAGGACACACCTCTCTCCTGAGCAGGCGGGAGCCCCCAGCACTTGCATTTCAGGCTGGTTACTGTGAACTGCATAATGTTCACAGTTTCTGGGGAGACGCAGGGCAATGAAGGATGCTTCCCATCTCACACCCCTGCCAGGCCAACGTCTACTGGGCAGAAGGGCAGGGTCACTGCAGCTCCTTCCTCTCTATTGGCAGAGGGGACAGTGTCATTGGTGTCGCCTAAATGAACCTACCAGAAACACCTACTCCCTGTATTCACATTCTTTGTGGTTGAACCTGGAGGTCAAGGGTAAGCTGGGACTTGGACTTCCTGGCTCTGCACACCAGGTTCCTTTATCTCAGTCTCTCCAGCTGGACCACTCACAGCAGCCACCTGCTCCCACCTGCCCCTGGGGTCCAGCGGGCACAGTGGACAGGACAGAGAAGCACGGGCCAGGCACGGTGCGTGTCACAGCTGTGCACAGCGTGAGCTCATCTGGCCCAGTAGCCAGGAAGGGCTGGGCCCAGTGACGCAAGGCTGTGTGGCACCTGGGGACGACTGTTGTCTGGGGTGCCTGCCAGGGTGGAAGGGTGGGGCAGCTTGTGGGTCTCAGGACATAGCGCTGCTGTGGGCGCGCCAGGGGGTGGGCGCTGGGGGTGTGCTGCTTGGGCTGGATGGGGGTCATGAGCTGGCGTCACAGCTGCCGTGTGCATCCTTTCTGTTACTAGGGCCACACCCTTGGCTCGATGTTTTGGCTTTTTGTTAGACAATAAGTATTTAACTGACCATTCACTATGTGCAAGGCGGTATATCTAGGCTGCACTGCTTACAATGACAGACAAGACAGGATAAGTCCCTGAGCTCATGTTTACATTCTAGTGAGAAAAAAGATGGGGCTATGCGATCAGGTGCAGCAGGACTGAACCCCCTCGGGGAAGCCAGCTCCACACTGTGCAGCCCACCTTCGTCGACTTCACAGTGCTCGTCCTTCACAGCTCAGGAAAAGTTACCAAGAATGTTATTGACTCCGATTTTAATTTGTCTAGCACTCTTGTTAATGATGTCTATTTAAGACATCCATTAAAGGCCTATGAGGTTAATTAAATGGACAATTCCAATACCGTTCTATTAGCACCCCCTCTATTAAATTAATATTATAGACATTTAACAGATGTCTTAATTAGGCATTATAGCTAAGAAATGCAAACTAAATTAGAACTTAAGCCATTGTCCAGAAAGAAGGCTTTTTACCGTAATTTATGGCTTTTGGGGGGAATGTTCATGTTTACTCCTCAGAACCTGAGAGCAGTCATTTGACAGTCTTTTCCAGCATCCAAACAACACCATCCCCAAAATTCCAAATCTATCACAGCCCAGACGTCAGAGCTGAGAGAGACTTCAGACACCATCTGGAGTCCAGGCTCCTCAAACATAAATGACGGATGAGCCAGCTGGGGTCCTGGGGGCACACAGACCTCTCTGGGCCCCAGCCCCGGGTGACAGCACATCCGGGGATCTGTTGCTGGCTTTTGGGAAGCTGCTGGCTCTGCTATAGGAAGTCCCCGGAGTCCCCGCAGGAATTTGCTTTAGTCTCATGGCCCCACTTGAGAGATAGGGACACTGAGACCCCAGACGACTCCAGGACTGCGAGAGGCCAGCAGTCTCCATGTCCTGGCCTGAATGACTTCTCTGGAAGCGGCTGCCATCTCTCCTCCCAGTAAGTTGGGCAGAACCTCAGGCATCTCCTGTGGGTTTCCTCACCTCCCTGCTGGCCCGAATACCGCAAAGGGCGATTTCCTGGGTCCTCCTTCAGGACACTGCAGACCTGGGCCCTGTGCCTCAGAGTGACCACATCCTGACATCCACAACTGCTCTTCCTCCGAGGACCCTGCCCTGCTCACCCATTGTGTGTGTTTTTGCCCCAACCAGACCTCAATGGGAAGGTGAGGATATTCAGCTGTTCGCAGAAATGCAAGGGAACGTGGCAACCCAGGGAACAGCTGGACACAAGTTCCTCTGTGCACCAGGTAGGAAACACAGTGGGAGGGGAGTTTGGGGTGCAGCAGCTGGGATGGCTTAGCTGGGTAATGGTCCAGGGTCTGAGGATGGGGTCCATGATGGATATTAGAGTTTTTCTGGGGAGCTCCATGGCTGGGATAGATGCCCTACCCCCAAATTTCTATGCAAAGGCCCAGACCCCCAATGTACTGCACTGGAGATGGGGCCATTAGGAAGATGATTAAGGCTAAATATGGTGGGACCTAACCCCACAGGACTTTTGAGAAGAGGGAGACACAGAGCTCTCCTTCTCCCCAAGTGTGCACTGAGGAAGGCCAGCTGAGGACACAACAAGAAGGTGGCCAAGGAGGAGTGCTCACCACACACCAACCCCATGGCACCTTAACCTTGGACCTCTAGCCTCTTGAATGGCGAGAAAACAATCTTGTTTGAGCTGCACTATGGCAGCTACATGGGCCCAGCGGACTGCTGTGCTGACCAGACCCACGCTGCCCTCAAGTCCCCTCCAGCTACTATTCTTTCCTCCCACCCTGTACTGCAGCATCTAAGGTTGGTCTTGCAAAAGCTAAGGGGCTCAGGGCCCACTCACTCTTTGGGGAACAGTGGGTCCCTGGACTGGTGCTCCTGGCTCCGTGCCACATCTCAAGGTGCTAATCGTCCTGCCGCTTGCTCCCTGGGCCTCTCTGGGACCAGGTTTCTTAGGTGCATCAAGGCTTATACACACAGCAGAGTTGGCTGTGTCTCATAGGCCTTCACATCCAAAGCCCAGCTCTACTGGGGTCCCGTACCCTTGACAGTGGGGACAGGAGGAGGGCCTGGAGGGTACCTCCGTGATAAGCCCGAGGCAGTGGTTCTGGGAACTGGCCAGCCCTGAGCCATTCCCTGGGCCTCAGGTCTCATTCTGTGCAGTGGTCAGTGCGGCCTCATCAGTAACACTCACTCCACGTGGGCGGCCGGCCTGCCTGGCCCTCTCCAGCCCGGGGGCATGGCCGGCCCCTGGGTGGGCTGCGGGGAAAGCTGGGGTGCTAGAAGCAGGCCGCACAGCAGCAGCTTTGTGGCAGGTGAGCACTCTCGCCAAGTCTCCTTGGGGAGAGGGGGAGAATGTACAAATTAAACAGCCACTCACATGGAAACTTGAGTCTGCGCCAAATGAAAAACAGATTTCACATGGCAAGTGGTACCAACAACTTTTCTGGAAAGCAACTGTGTATTTACACAACATCGGCCGCCTTTTACATGGCAGAGGGGTAGGCAAGAGCAGTGTGGTTAGAAGTTCTAGCACCTCTGCTGCTACTGACGCGGCACTCTCGGATGCTGAAGAACAGCAGCTGCTGATGCCACGGCAGGTTTCCTCGGTGGGAAGCCAGGTGTAGAGGGAACCCTGAGGCACTTCAGAGCTGCGGCCTCATCCTTGTGGCCACCCTCAGTGCATGCGCGGCTTTGGAGCCTGATTTGAGTTTGAGTGCCAGCTCTACCCCTTAGGCAGTGAGGCTCTGGGCATGCGAGCATGTCAAGTCTCCTTTGGGCAGAACAAGGAGGCCATAGCCGTGGGCAGAGTCATGAGCCGGGTGGCCCTGGAAGGGTGCTGGGATGTGAGCTCTGCAGCACAGGCAGCCCGGGCTGCATGGGGAGAGCAGTCATGCCAACTCAGAGCCATCCCGTGAGCAGCAGACACCGAGCACAGACAGAAGCAGGCTCAGCCCGGGTCTGGCCCCTGTGACGTGAGTGCACTGTGAGCCTGGGAGCGTGGTGCCAGAGAGCTAGGCCTTCCGCTCTCCTGTGCTAGTCAGTGCTCACACTTCCCTCTTCAAATGGTGTTCTCTACTAGGGTGGAGTCGTGCTGGTAAATACCGAGAAAGCAAAGCCTTCGGTATTGCTGCTTCCCCCGCAGTGAAAAGAAAAGCACATGAACTGGCCACAGTTCGTCACCGGGAAGCATTTCTGCCCTCACTATGCCGGTCAGAAAGCACTTACTCATCAAAGGAAAAGGGGCTGAAGGGTCTCCTGATCCTCGGGGCTTTTCTAATACCAGTCCCTGGAAGGCTGGCCCTGGCCGGTTTTTCCTTGGGCCCTGCCTGGAGGGGCTTTGTGGTTGGCCCGCGGGCCTGTGGGCTGGGCAGATGGAAGAGTCAAGCCTTTTGACAGCAACAGTGGAAATAAGAGGTTGGGCCCGCTGTTGGGGGCTCTGGCTTCCTAGTGGGTCAGATCCAGGAAGGGCTGCAGTTTATCTTCTCTGCAACCCATTTTTCTCTGGAGTCTAACAGGTTCTAGAAGGAGCACACTGCAGTGGGGTTAAGCTGGATGGGAGTGACCACTAAGCATGTCAGTGACCCATGCTGGCTCCAGGTCCAGGTGGACAAGCCCAGGCAACTTCACCAGTAACTTTTCTTCAACTTTCTTGAAACAGCAAATAAAGCCTTAGCTAGGCCAGAGTTCCTCAGCACATGTGATCTAAAGGCAGGCGCCACAGATGCTCCATGCCCCTGACCTGGAGACGCAGCTCTGAAAGCAGGAGTTACAGAGTGTACGAAAAAGCATGATCCATCTGGGTGAGCAGGAACAGGAATTAGCACAGAGGCTGCAGCCCCCGCCCCTATCCAGGGACTGGGGGAAAAAAAGTCTATACACATTCCAGAGTAAGGTGTGAGACCTGAGACTGCAGAACTGCCTTACTTCACCGTCAGATGTGAAGGCACAGTGGGATTCAGGATCTCATCTGTGGGCCCCGGCCCCCTCGCGCTAAGCAAGTGTTTAAACCAGCCGCCTTCAGACCCCTGGGCCAACCCCCACTCACTGTGTCCTCTCACGTGCAATAAAGCTTCACTCCTAACTCACCCAGACTGACTCCCGGGAGAATTCTTTCCTTCGCCAAAGTCGAGAACCTTCAGGGTCCCTCAGCACCCCCAGGCTCTGACACAGGTGCCACCTTGGGTTCCCCTTCCCTCCACCCACCTGCACTGCAGGAGATGTTCCTTTCAGTGGCGTTTATACCAACACGTGTGTTTCATTTTGACATGAACAAGGGATTTATCATACAACATTCAGAAACAGAAAGTACCAAGAAGAAATGAAAACCTGATAATCCCACTGCTCATCAACCAGTGTTAACCCCGCTGTCTTCTCTCTGCAGGAAGAACACAGAACCAACCTCAGACCCGCCCTCCTCCCGGACCTCCTGGCTCTGCTGATTCTCCTGGGTGACTCCATGGCCTGGCTCCACCTGGATGGGCTGGAGGTGGTCTCTAGTTGGAAGTAGCTGCTCATGCCTCGCTGGAAGCTGGGATCTGGTGGCAGGAGCTCACAGATCAATTGTCCCCTTTGCTTTGAACTTCTTTGCAGACCGCTCACTAGACCGGAGCTGGAATTTGCTCCCGTAAATGTAGGAAGTGAAGCCCTCGATTTCCACGGTGAACACGCAGTTTAGTTTTGGGATAACTGAAAGAAGGCAGGAGAAAAAGGATGAGGAAGAAAATTCTGGTTGATTTTTTTGCAGAATGTCATTTATAACAAGTCTGTATTAAAAAAGAAGCTGGTAAGCAATGGGGGAACGCACAAAGTAGCGGCACCAGGATTACAGGGGTTATTGTGACATGCAGCCAGCTTCTTTACATTTTAAATGTTACATCTAATTTTCAGGGCCAAAGGCTGTTAACTAAACTTCCAGAAACAGGTTTCCCCACATAACTTTCAGATGAACTCTTGGTTTTATGCTCAGTGGGGAAACTTGTTCACCACCTTCTGAGGTTTAAAATGAGAGCAGAAGAATGTACAAGGGGATGGACGTGAAGCCGCAAACCTCCCCCTACACACGCACAACTTGAATGCTAAAGGAACAAAAACCTGTAACTGTGGTTTCGAGATCTCTGGGCCCATGGGCATGGCTGGGGGTGGGATTTCTGACTGATGCACTTGTATTCACTTTCCTGGATCACAAAGGGTCACCACCAAGGGTACAGCTCTCAGCTCTCCAGGGACAGTGTGACATTATCCCCACCCCCCCCAACTTATGTTTACTATATTCCTCTGGGAGGTAGTAGCTTTTGGGTGGGTGAAGGCCCCCATCTTGGAGGCAGACCCAGACGTCTGGAGGGGCAGCCCAGCAGCCCTCCCTCCCCCTGGACATTGAGTGCCCAAGGCGGCTGATGGACTTCGGATGCCTTGGGAGAGGGATAGGGGCAGGGGACAGTCTGCAGGCTGTAGGGTGAGCAGCTACCTGCTACAGGTGCTGACTTGAGAGGCCAAAGTGAACCTTAGAAGCATGAGGCAAGGGATGACGAAACAGGTGGGGGCCACAGCCCACAGCGTCCTCAAGGACAGTCCCGTACCTTTTAGCCGGTCTTCTTTGGTGATAATTTTGAAAACATGCTTTGTTTCCTGTAGGAGGATTCCCGTAACACCCACATAGGAGGGGCATTTGGATTTTGTGACTGCAAAGGAAAAAGGAATTCAAGGCTCAGGCTTCCGTGGTGTTGGGAAGCAGCGAACAACCAGGCTGTGGGGGTTCTGGTCCCACCCTCAAGCCAGCAGAGGAAGACAGGGCACCCAGAGGGGCAGGGACCACGCTACCCAAGAATCAGGTTTTCCTGTAGCCTGTGTGCTCTGATGGCAGCAGTGTTCTCTGGAGGCCTGAAGCCATAGGGGTCTGGCCAGGATGCTGGGGCCAAGATGTCACCCTTGTGTCCAGCACCACCAGGGCCCACATTCAGGTTGCTCTGGTGGATCCATGCCTCTTTAGAGGGTCAAAATAAACATTGTCCACCAGGATCCCACATCCCCCTTGCTCTGACTGGAGTGGGATCATCTGGGTACAGGGTACCCAGAGTAACTGGTACTGTGGGCAGCAGGCTGTTTGCCCCTTGACCATGTCACAGTGTAGTCAACAGACACTCAATGGCACCTGTCATGTGCCTGGCACTGTTCTAAGTAGGTTCTGGGCACAGCAGTGAACGAGGCAGTCCTGGGGCCTGCTCTCATGGAGCTGGTGTTCTGAAAATACAGACAACTTATATTTTTTGATAGTGATAAATGCTATAAAGAAAACTGGGACAGGATAAAGGGGGTCACCTTTAGTGACCGTGGAAGTGACATCTAAGCAGGGAACTGAGTCATGAGGAGTCAGCCTATGATCACACAGAACGCTCTGGGCAGAGGGAAAGAGCAAAGGCAAAGGCCCTGTGGCAGGAAGAACTGCTGTGTGGTTAGACTTAGTGCCGAAGGAGTTGGAGAAGCCTTTTAGATCACAGTTAAGGAGGCAAAAGGGACGTGATCTGATTCCTGTTCTAACACCTTTGCTCTGGCTGCTCTGGCAGGGGAGGAAGTGTTAGCAGGGAGACGTTAGGAGCTTCCACATCCAGGGGAGATGATGGTGGCTGAGATCCAGGTGCTAGAACATACTAATGGATTGGAGGTGGGGAATTAGGAAAGAAGAAATGTAGATACCTCCTAGGTTTCTGGCCTAAACAGCCATGGTAAACAGTGGTATCATGACCTGTGCCTCGGGGAGGGCTGGTTTGAGAAGGGGGCCTGAGTTCTGTTTGGTTAAGTAAGCCTGCGACACCCACTGAGCCAACGGACATCCAGGTGGCAGTGGACAGCTGGACAAAGGAGTCAGGAGTTTAGGGGAGTGGTCTGTGCTGGAGACAACAACTTGGGAGCTAGAGAAAAGGACTTTCTGTTCAAGATTCCAGACTAAGGGCGAGTGCCAGCAGCTGCTGTACCCTGAGATGCCAGCAGTGGTCCCTATGTGGGGAAAGAGCACAGAAACCACTTAGAGTGTTCAACAAGTGGTCAGAAGGGGCTATAGGCATCTTGCATCTTAAGTGCTGCTGATGTGGGGAAAGTGGCTGGCATAGAACCCAAGCCTGCAGCACAGTGCTCTGTTGCCAGAGTGACAACACGGGCATCCAGATGACTACATGCTCTTAGACAAATTACCTGAAACAATGGCGCCATGAAGATCTGCCTTTAGTAGCTTGGCTTGAATCATCTGTGGCTGCCTAGAGGGTAAACAGAAGCCCTAAATGATAGAGTTCTGAGGGAAGCAAGCAGGTTTATAAATGCCTGCAGTCAGACAATGCAGACAGGTGGCTCCTAAAGCCACATTTGTAGTGATCATCAGACTCGAGTTCTGCCCCCAAAGGACAAAGCCTCAGAAATGCAACTTACGTGTCTGGCTTGAGACCATTGCACAGGTCCCGGATGTACTGCTTCCAAAGTTCATGTAGCGGGAGAAAAAGACTGTATCTGTGGCAGAGTAAGAAAAAGGTAAAGATAGGCTATGTGAACCTGGGACTATAATGGTCAAAGAGCACAGTGCAAGGACCAGAATCTGGGGTCATGGGGAACTGGGCGCAAATCCTAGTTTTACTGGGATGGCCCGACTAAAACCAAGGGCCTTCACTCCTTAAATCTCAGTCTCCTCATTGGTAGAAACCTCAAAAGCCTAAGTTTCCACTAATGAGAAAAGAAAGGTGTTTTCTCTTGCCCCTTCATTTTCCCTGGTGGTTCAATGTAGCCATGACAACTGGAGTTCAAGTAGACATCTCAGGCCACAAGGCAACATCTGAAGGTGGTGGAGCAGCGAGGATGCATTCCAGAACTCAATGCCTGGGTCTCTGACAGCTGTGGAGTTGCCTGCCATCCCAGGACAGCATCCATCTGGACAGCTTTTCACAGGGAGAAATAAACTGCAATCGTATTTAAACCACTGTTTTTTTTTGGAGGCTTTATTATAGGAAGTAGAACCTCTAAGTAAGGCAGTTCTAAGCAAGTCCTCGTGTAAGGTAACAGCTCTGTCTGGGGAAGAGTGAGCAGGTGGCGAAGTGAAGGGGAGGGCTGAAAGGGCCTTAAAGGCTTTCCTTGGGGCCACTATCACTCTCCTGGTGTCTTGTGGGGAATCAATTCACTTACATGAAGCCGCTGGTTAAAGCAATGAGAACCTTAAGCTCAAACCTAAGTGGGCTGTACTGGTGGCGATAACAGCAAGGCAAACCTGGGGAAAGGCAGCAGATCCTTCCTCCATCCAAAGCCCAGCTGCTTTCACAAGAGGGGCCATGGACAAAGTGACAGACTTTACTTGTCTTGTGGGATGTGGGAGGCTATTTGGCAGATCTTGAAGAAAAGCCTACAAAACGGTACTAAGAAATGCAAATGCCAAGAAGGATGGAGAGTCAGCCAGGGGGAGGAACACATCCTCCCACAGAGAGGGATGTGCCCCTATCAGAAACTTCCGAAACATGTGGGCAGCACGTACTTTGGCAATAGAACCCCACTGGGTGATTCTGTCTAATGCTATTAAAAGCTACAAAGTGATATATATTAAGAAATATCAGTTCCTCTTTTTCTAAGAAAGCTGAAAGACAAAACAGCCTGTTGCCATGGGCAACAGACTCATTTATGGCACGGGTCTTATTAGTTAAGGCTAGGACAGAAGCCAAACAGAGTCTCACAGCGCCTTGCTATTAAAAACCAAACCCAAACACAGTCTGAACGGTAAAGGCAGGCTGCCCCCTTGTGGCAGAAGCGGGAGGGACTCGCTAGCTCAAGCAGAGCAGGGGCTGCCAGGCAGGCACTCGCTTCTCAAGTCCTCCCCCAGACCAGGAAGATTCAGTTTCAGTGGTAGTAGGGCAGGAAAGGTTGAACTTACCTCTGCTGCTCTGGTTTAATTTCAAAGAGCCGCAGCTCACGTCTCTGCCTGGCGGAGAGCCCTTTGGATTTCTTTCTCTTCTCCTTTCGCTTCCGGCGTGTGAAGTACTCCAGAACAACAGCCTTGCGCTGCAGCTGGTCCTCACGGGCTTGCTGGCTCATGTGAGGCAAGCTGCGCTTCAGAAAGGCCTTCACAAAGGCTTCAGCCCGCTGGGTTCCTGGGTGCTGTGTGGGGACAAGGCAGCATAGTGTTCACTGCTCTGGTTGGGGCAATCAGGGACTCCAGGCGCTCCCTCAGTACTGCTGCAGCAGTTGGGCTGTGTTTGCCAACCCACGTTTCTACCGCCCGAAGCTCACACAATCTCCCATCTGCCAGGGTTTACCAGCAACAGCTGTCCAGATGTGAAAGTCACACTCAAATGCCAATTCGTGACTGTCACACAAACCAGCTAGGTCAAACGCTGGCTTTCTACCCTGTTTCCGATGAAGATATAAAAAAAAATCCCTCAACTTTATAGGAAGCAAAGATGGCAGGAAGGAAAGCTGAAGAATGTATGACAATATTTAAACAGTCATGACCAGCTGAAGACAAGCTCAGAGTAGATTCCAGCTATGGCCTTGGAGGAAGCGCACCCAACACCACAGAGAATATGTAACAGTTGTTTTGGGGTGGGCTGAGCCTCAGGGGCAGAAATTCTGACACTGCATCCACCTTACAATCCCTTTGACTTGGGTTTCTAGTCCTGTGGGTGCAGTACGGCTACTCTCCAAGTCTGCACCCACATCACTGTGGGGAAAGGGCTGTCAGGGTATCTCAGCCCTGCTCCCACAGAGTGAGGCCTTGTGTGACCGTGACTGGGCACATGCCCTCAGAAGGGGGGTCTTCTGAGCAAACACCTGTCATGATGGTGCGTGACTCTGAAGAGAACTCCACTGCCTCTCGAGCTGGCGCTCCACCAGTCTATTCCTCACTCAGACAGGTGCCTGAGTTCTGCCACAGCCCCGGGCAGCACTTTCCTATCTCATTGCTGGGTCACTTCCTGGACCCATGTTGCACTAACCAGTTTGTAAACACCCTGAAGCTAGTCTATCAACAGTAAGCAAGCTCTCCCCTTCATGGCAGAAGCAGGGGAGGGAGATAAAAATGTGATCACATAATCTTCATGGCTGCTCATAGGAAGGCAGGCAGTTGGTTCCAGCTTTGTATGTTAGACCCCAAAATCATTACCGTCATTATTATTACTATGAGGAGAACATTATTTGATTCTTTTAAATACCTAAGTGGCTCCTCTTTCATGGAGAAGCCAAATCAAGGTATATTATTTTTTTCAAAATCTAGACTTCAAGACTTTGTCCTCATTATGAGTCACCAGTGGAGTTTCTGCCATATTGGCAAGGCTCGTTTGCAGCCTGAAGACACAGCACAGTGTCAAGGTCACATGACAGTGACAATCAGGACAGGCTTTGGGTGGGTATAGGCCCCTACATGGGGCGGGGGACACAAGATCTAGAAGTCCCAGGTAGGGGCCTCCTTCGTGGTGCAAGGGGTTAAATCTCAGCACTATGAAGCTACTGGCAGTCACTGCAGCATGAGTTTGAACCCCAGCCAGGGAGCTGACCTACATGGTGCAGCAGACCTCTCCTTTCTCACCTGCTGCTCCTCTCAGCAGTGTATTTCAGTCAATCCACCTGTTCTGCTCCCCACTCTGTCTCTGGTAAATCTTCTCACCCCCCATCCCCCCCTGCACCTCTGGCCTACATCCTAACTCTTGTATGCATAAATAAATAAAATAAATCTTAAAAAAAAAAAAGTCCCAGATAACCAAACTCCATTTTGGCACAATAGGAAGGAGGGCAGTATATGGAAACAAGCCATGAGAACAGAGACCCTGACTGAGTCTAAAAAATCTGCTGGGAAAATGAGGAGCAGGACATGAGAAAGACAATCTAAAGCAACACTAAAGGCTTAACAGTCACTGACCCATCACCTCTGGCACTGTACCTTAACATCGAACTCTTGTGTCTCTTGCTGGGATAAGGCATGGTAGACCACATCTGGGAATTGAAAGAAAGCAAACATGAAATGATCAGTTCCTGCTGGGTATGGTCAGAAGACCCAAGACTTTTTAAACTATGAATATAAACACTTATCCGAGACAGGAGAAGATGCGGTATATAAAAAGCATAGCTTTAAAGTTTTCTTGGGTGTCTCTTATCTGACTCTCCAGTCACATCTATCTAAGTTCCAATGGTATGCTTTAAAACAGTGCTTCTCAAACTTTAATATGTGTAAGAATCTCTGGGATCTTATTAAAATGGTGATTCTTGGGCAGATTCCCAGATTCTGCAGTTCTATTACAGGCCAGCAGATCAGAGTTGGAATTGCACAGATTTTAAATACTATATTAGAAGCTTGCGCCATTGCCTAATGAAGTAACTCATTTGAAAATTATGTGACAGAGCTTTCCAAGATGCAAATAGTTGGAAATATTATATTTTGTTGACTGTAAGATGCTTTGAAAAAAGGATTTCCCTCCTTTTAGTATCTATTAAAGTTAAGATATACCATACAATTGATGCTGTGCTAAACTGATAAAACACAGTAGACCTTTTTTCAAACTGAAAACATATATCGATCAATGTAGTTTCAACCTCTAAAAACTTCCACACTATTGTTTCTTATTTGTCTGGAGAAGGAAACTGCAGCACTGGGGACAGAATATGGGTGTGAATGGAATATGAACGAGACAAAGGTCTGGTTTACAAGCCAAAAGACTAGAAAATTTGGCTTATACTATACTCTGTGGATTCCACCTCCGATCCCTTGTGCTTCGCTGAGTATATCTGAACAAGCCTGGAGTCCAGTTCTCCCTCAAATGGATGTGGGAATTAAAACTAATTTGTACAGAATAATTTGCATGGCCTGGGGCCCCATGAATAACTGTACTTCACTTCTCACAGTTGCTTAGCCTTAGTCTTGTAAGTCTTTTTGTTAATAATAGACACCTGACAGTTACTGAGCATTCATTACTTGCCATGCGCCTGATTAAAAGTCATATATATTTTATCTCAATACTAACAAGTCTTCAGAGTAGTTATGATTCCCATTTTGTACACAAGAAAATTGAAGCTCAGCTATGCTGACACATATAACTTGATTAGACATCTGGGTAGGGAGAGGTAGGAATGGAACTCAAAATTGTGATCCAAAGCCTAATTGTATCTACACCGACCTATCTATAACTATCCTGGGTATCGGCTCCCCTCTCCTCCACGCAACTCCTAAAGCTTTGGGTTAGTGACAGCATTCCCCAACATGCTCCCAGCGCTTTAACTAGTCAAAGGTCGTTCACAGAAGAGCAGGCTGGGCAGACATCATTATCAGTACCTTACTGAAGAGGAAACCAGGTCGCAGAAAGAAGCATGGGCTTTGACCACGGTCACCGGGAAGGTAGTGGCCAAGTCGGGTCAAAGGTGGGCCCGCCTCTAGCATCACAAATTGTTAGGGGGAAAAGGCAGTCCCAAAGCAAATTTCATACAGGCTTTGTGGACTCCACCCCCACCCCAGGTCAAAGCCAAAGACACTGGGAACTCCAAATCCCATCACCACCAAAGGGAAGGTGGCTGGGACCTGAGGGTGGGGTTAAGCAGCCAGGTGGATACAAAAGGCAAACACGTGGGCTTTGGGGGCTCTCTCCATTTTGGGGCCCTCGGCCAGCTCGCGGCGTCCGTCTAGCTCTGAGAGTGACTTTGGGGTTTCCAGGTCGTCGGATCGGGTAGGACGCATTAAAGACTTTATTTCCCTATTTTCTCCCTGAGTTGTACATTTTCCTTATTTCTTTTTCTCTTGTAAATAAACCTTTTATTAACCCTTTTGCGTGTGTCTGTAGTAGAGTATTCATAAGTCCCTTTAAAGCGCGCGGGTGAGGACCCACAGCCAGGAACCCGTTTAATATCGGGGTTGCTCTATAACAAAATCATGAGAAACCCCTATCCCCCAAGTAATCTCCAGGACTGATCTCAAGCCTTAGCTCAGAGACTAACCAGCCCCTCAGTTTCACTTATGTAAAGTGGAACAATTACCATGTCACTTCAGTTAGAACTCCGCAGCTACCCTTTGCATGCATCAGCATCTGGCCCCGGACCCTCAATACCCAACCCCTCTTCAATTTTGTAGCTTTCAACCCCGCTTACTTTTCATTCTCGGGCCGCTTCCGGTGCTCTCTGATGACGTCTCTTCAAGTGTCGCGCTCTTTCCCTCTTTCTACTTAATTCAGTAACCCTGGACCACTAAAGCATCTCTCCTCAAAGTCTGCGGAAGAGAGGTTCCTAGTGCGAGAGGCCGCGAGGTAAGCGAAGGCGACAGACGGATACACTCCAGCAAACCGCCAGGGTCGCAGGCCCTGGGCGCGTGTAGATGGCGCCTCGCGTGACGTCACTGCTGCGCCGACCTAGTGTGGCGCATGCGCCGCGGAGCGAAATTCCCAGTTAGCCGGACTTTTCGGCTTTACCTGCGGTTTTGGGGTTGCGGGTTTGTGGGCGTGGAGGCCCAGGAACAGCAGGCGTGGTCGTCTGCAGTGCTTGTGAAGGACTGGAGTGGAGCGAGGCGGGCCGACTTGGAGAGGACACGCGGGAGGTCGGGGACCGGGAGAGGGCGGAAATGGGATTGGGGGTGACCGTGGTGGGGAATGAAGCCTCTAGGGTCCCTACTCAGTCGGGTAATTAGAGATGGGTTGGAAGCTGAAGTTCTAGTTTTGTGTCTCCTGCTTAGTAGCTTGTCTACTGCTTAGTAGCTCTGTGACCTCCATTAATACACTCCCCATCTCTAGTGCTCACTTCACATGTTCCATCTGCTGTGAGGGAGGAGCGACTAATGGTCTCTGAACGTTTTCTTGAGACCCAGAATATTAGTTTCTATCAATAAAATAAAAGGTAAAGTATTGATTCTTATTGCTCTGGGGGAAGGCTCCAAGTTGTGGGGGCACGTTCTGGGCAGACCTTTCAGAAATAACTGGGTGCTGTGGCCTTAATTTTTGTTGAGTGCTGGGCCAGTCTTGGTGATGTGCACTGGTGTTGGTGTGCTCTAAGTCAACTTTAAACACTATGTAAACATTTAAAGTTAAAAAAAATAATTCAAGGGAACCCTGGGAGTATGTTCACAGATTCTGCCGGTATTTTGAGAAGCGCTGGTTCAGTTTCTTTGGGCAGTGACCTTATGCCAGGTTGATCTTAAAGGTAAGCCTGCTGGTCCTGAAATTGAATGGCTATAAGGTGACTTGTTCAAATGAGCCTGAAAGCATTTGCCTTACTTGTAAATTACCATCAAAGTGGAAACACATTTAAACCAAAATGTATTGTACTTGCAGATGCCTGAAAATTGAAGTCTAGGACTAAGTTTGAGAAACTAAGTTTGAGAACCTGTTGTTGGAGCTTCATGCCAAGCCAGCCACCAGATTTGAATTTTACTAGCAGCAGGAGACATCAAGACAGTAAGAGCCAGTTTCAGAGCTGTGACTCAAGGAGGCCCTTTTGAGTAATACCTTTGTGTTTATGGAGGTAAACTCTAAACTCCCAATTGATTTACCCTTCTCAAGTAGCCAGGACTGCCCTGGAGGATTTGCCAATCTCCCCTAGATTCCCTGAGTGTGGTGGCACGGGCACTCCTGGAGCTGCAGTTACTCCATAATCACCAGTTGTTTTTTTTTTTTTTTTTTTTAAAGCAAAAACCACTTATTATTTTCAGGAAATAATTGTCTATGTATGTACCTGTCCTTAGGTGGTGTTGGTATTACTGTGATTGTAGGAGTAAAACATTAGAAACCACTTGATATTTGATAACTACGGAATAAGTAAGTAAATTAAATACATTACACCCTTCAAGAATTCACAAGCTCTTCGGATCATCTCTGAAGGATCATCTCTGGAGAGTCTTATTTAGTAGGTGGGTTCCCACATGATATTTATGAGTAATTAAGTTTGGGAATTATACATTTATGTAACTTGAATACCACATAGCATCATTTTTTTTTAAACTGTACAAAATATTGGTAAAACCAAATAAAAATAGAACACTAAGATCCTGAAAGTTTTTGTAGTTGGGTAAGCAAGCTTACGATAGACTTTTTTCTTTTTGTCTGGTTTCCAAATTTTATTCAGTGACAAGACTTTCTTAAGACTTCCTTTTTTTATGGCTATAAATGGTAAGTGTTCGAGCATGGGTCCACATGTGTTTCCCACTAGAGATTTTGAAAGTTCCTTGGGAAGTCACAGGGCAAAGATGTTATTGTCAATAACCTACCCCTTCTCCCCTGGCCCCCCGCCAACCGTTTATTATAAAGAACTTCAAATATACAGAAAAATAGAAAGATGATTGCAGTGACTACCCTTATATCTGAGATTCTATAGTGAACATTTTGCTGTACAGGTTTCTTTTGATTGCTACCTTACGACAATTAAGCTGCTAGGGTGAGTACTTAAGAAATGTTTCCTGTCTCAACTCAGATTAAACCTCTACTGTTAAATACATATCTGAAAGTTAGGGCATTCCTTATAAACACAAGATAATCTACAGAGGCCATTTATCTAATATCCTGTAATAATACAGTGGAGGGGCCTCCTTGGTGGCACAGGCAGTTGAGCGCCTCACTGTGAAGCTGTCCACAGCCTCTGCAGCATGGGTTCGATCCCAGTTGGCTGGCGAGAATCCCACATGGCGAGGCAGACCTCTCCTGTTGCACCCGCTGCTCCCCTCAGCAGTGTATTTCGTTAGTCTGCCTGTTCTGTTCCCCTCTCTGTCTCTGGTGAATCCTCTCACCCTTCTGTGCATCTGGCCCGTACCCCAGTTCTTGTATAAATAAATAAAATCTTTAAAAAAAATACAGTGGAAAAGTATTTTTTTGCATCCCCTTTCTGCCATTATTGGATTAAAGAAAAACATTTCTAGTTTATTTTTTTTTAAGTATAAGGAAAGATGCTGAGGAAATACCTGCAAGCTTGCCATGAGAACATGGAAGTCTTTGTTTTCAGTGAAAGCTGTAATTTGAGTTAAAAAGGGCAGTTATTTTATGTATTATATGTGTAAATACATTTGTGTAAATTTACATGGGCACACGCATGTGTTCATATGTGTGCATATACTCTAGAATTTTTCCTTCTTTTTCTTTTCAATGATGAAGCCTGGTGTATTTGATAGTGATGAGGCCTGTGCTGCTTTTCTACACTAGGAAGACCTTGTCTGTACCGGGGTTGCTTCTTGAGGTGACTTGGAGCACTCAGTGAGAGATGATGCTCATATTAGCACAGGCCTGCACAGACAGTGCCATCACCCGCGTGCTCCCAAAGCTGCAGCAGTCCTTGAGGCGCAGGATTATCAACATCCCTGCCCCACTCTGCCCTTGATCTTTTCCCTGGCCCAGATGTGGTGTGTTGGCAAGGGGAATTATTCCTTAGGCTTGGTGGTGTTACAAGAGACCAGCTGCACTGATAGCAAGAGATAGGCAGGTTGTAAAGTGCCAGTGCTGATGGACATTCCCGATAGCAAACCCTTTTCTGCTGGGTTAGTGGGTGCTCTGGCTTCAAGAATCAAAGAACCCCAGATGCTTGCAGGAGGATGACAGCTCAGTCTCTTCTGATCAGGAGATAGCACTGCACTCTCAGTCAATTTAAGACCAACTGTTTGGAAATGGCAGGCCTGTGACACTTGGCATATATGGTCAAATAGCAATTTCTGGAAACCAGGTTTCCCAGTCTTTGAACCTCCAAAAGTCACTCTTCAAGGCTACCTTGATCCCAAATGTCTAAAATAGTACTATACTATGCTACTGTAGTTGCAACTATAGTAGACTCTTGCAGTGCCCTGAAGAAGTTTCACCACGACCTGAGCCTATTGAGGAAAACTTGCTTTGGTGAAGTCAGGCCAGAGCACAGCCACCTGGCAGGAAAAGATGTGTCCATCCTGGGAGATGGATGTGCTTTTTAGTCTTCTCCAGTCTCTTCCATTCTTTAATAGACAGCCTCCAGCTTAAAATGTGAAAAACAAAATATATATTATGCATAAAGTTGTGGTAATTGAGCCAGTCAAGAGAATTGTCACTAAAATAGAAGCATAGATGACCAGATGTTTGATGACAAGGCCTTTAAAATACTATTGTGCACACATCTAATAACCTAGAAAAAGGCAGACAAATGGTGAAAAGCAAGGAGTTTTAGCAGAGCGATGGAAACTCTTGAGTTAAAAAATACATTTAGTGTTTCCTGTGATGGCCATCAAATGCCCACACGTTCAGACTGACCTTTTTCATAATGACTGAGATAATGTCCGCACCCACACACGCCTGTCCTTTTTAATCATTTGATAAACAAATAGGAATCTGACAAGCCTGAGGCCTCTCTGGGCCTATTTATCTTGCTTGTTAAATGATGGAGCCCTGGGTGCTGGGAGCAGCCTCCTGCAGCCCCTGTGCCAAGGTGCCTGAGGGGAGGTCCCTGGGGAGGCTGGCAGTGTGTGCGCTGCTTTGCAGGGCCTTTTCCTCTGAGAGCCTTTAGCTATCTGAAGAGCTGGGACGGGATGTTGGCAGCTGAGAATGGCTCAGTCCAGGCTGGACTCCACATCGTTTTTCATCTCCCATGTCCATGTCAGTCCTCACAACCGAGGCCCTATCCTTGCCTATCAGTGTGATCACGGGGAGGATTGGCCCCCGTTTGCCCAGAGCATTGGGTTGTGTGGCAGTCAGGGCCCCGGAGGGCTCAGCAGCCCTGTGAGCTTGGAGTGGCGCCTCTTCCTCTCAGGTCTGTGGACTGAATGGGGACCAGGACACATCTCTAATGTATGCCTTGAGGCCCGTGGATTTCTGCTCTTGTAGGACTGATGGCCGAGAGGGGCGCCCCCACACTAGTCCCATCAGGAGTGGAGAAGAGGGCTGAGACCCGTGGGGGTGGGTGGTGGGAAGGAGAGAGTGGCTGGAAATCTCAGTGACATGGCAAACTTCAAGTTTTTGACAAAGGCTGTCTGCTGTGAAGTCTATTTTTCTATCTAGTGCAGTTCCTTGATGCCTGAAGAATTATTGGATTTCATATTAATTTGGCCATTTGCACTATGGCAGGTTGTATTGGCATTTTTTAAAATATATATATATATTTTAAGATTTATTTATTTATACAAGCATGGGGTACAGTCAGAAGCGTGGGAGGGTGAGAGAATTCACCAGAGCCAGAGTGGGGAGTAGAGCAGGCAGACTGGTGAAGTACACTGCTGAGGGGAGCAGCGGGCTCAGCAGGAGAGGTCTGCGTACCATGTGGGACCCTTGCCCGGTGGCCAGGGATCCAACTGGCACTGCAGAGGCTGTGGGCAGCTTAGTAACCCAGAGCTCAACTGCTGCACCACTGGGGAAGCCCTGTATTGGCATTATTTATTGGTCTATATTGTTTCTA